GGGCAGGGCCCTCCTTACCCTCTTGTCTTTAATTATATTGTAATTGTAATGTCTTCCTTACATTGTAAAGCGCTGCGCAAACTGTTGGCGCTATATAAATCCTGTATAATAATAATAATAATAGCTATAGGGGGCCTGGGGAAGGGGACCCCATTACAGAGGGGCTCTTGAAGCAAATTAAGCATAGGAAATCTGTGTGCATGTGAAGACACATTCCATGGTTTTCATACGATAGCCATGGAATGTGCCGAGGGAGATGCTGATGAAAGATCATGGCGGCACGTGTGAAAGTTTGTAACAGTTGTGAAGAATAAATCCCTTTTGGAGGAATCTCGGGGATCAGAACGCGCTCTGTAATCCGATTCTTATTTCTCCAGAGAGACCCGATTCCAGCGACTCCGAAAAAGCTGCCGACAAGTTTACTAGAAGACGAATTTTAATACTTATGGAATGGTGATCTCTAAGACATTGAGCTTTACAAGAGTTTCATTACTCAACAAAATCATAAGACTGCATGCTCTTAAAGGAGAACTATGGGGTCAGGGCTTTTCCCCATTAGGGTAACAGGAGGACACAAACTAGCGTCCTCCCGTTACTCTAAGCTCAGTATATAGGGAGCTACAGCTCGCGGTATACTGAGACGCCGCAGCCGGAGCGGATCCCGACATCGATGTCGAAATCCGCACAGCTGCGTGAGTGACAGCTGGCTCTGCCTATCTAGAGGCAGAGCCAACTGTACGCGCCCCCTCCCCCGTCCGTTCCACCAGTCAGCGCTGGAGGGGGGAATCCAGTCGCTCCCCTGTCACAGCAGAGAGCCGTGACAGGATCGAGAGGTGAGCGAACGCCGGTATGTGTTCCCTCACCTCCCGATCTACTGAGCCGACCTGTGATAGTCTCATTGTCACAGGTCGGCTAGAACTATGAGGTGAGTGAAAATCACCCCCCCTCCCCCATAGTTCTCCTTTAATCCGGCTTTTCCTTCACCTCAACCCTTTTCTGTGAAAAATTGCTTTTATCAGGTCACTTACTGCCTGCGTTCCAGCAGATGATTACTTATCATATATGCTGCGTCACCCGTCTTAGTGTCAATGCAACCTGTCTTGCTATAGAAGGTGCTGCTTCTGTCTTATTTATTACAGGTATTTATATAGCACCGACAATTTACACAGCGCTTTTACATAGTTGCACATTCACATCAGTCCCTGCCCTCAAGGAGCTTAAAATCTAAGGTCCCCATCTCACATACAGGGCCAATTTAGACAGGAGCCAATTAACCTTCCAGGATGTCTTTGGAATGTGGGAGGAAACCCACGCAAGCACAGGGAAAACATGCAAACTCGTTTTTTGCAGATAGTGATCTGGCTGGGATTCGAACCAGGGACCCCCAGTGCTGCAAGGCCTTTTCCACATTTTGTGGTCTAATTATTAACAATTTGCACAGCTACCCATCCTGTCAATCTCTGTGAACATTCATTCTGTGTGAATAGAGGCAAAAACTAACGTTCGTAGTATATGTTCTTCTCAGGTTGAATGTAATGTAATACCAACTTCTGACATAATCAGATCCTCCATGCTTTCTCCATTAAAAACTGTTCGCTAGCCTTCGGTAAGACCACTTAGCCCTATTCCAGACACGTTTCTTCATGGTTGTTTTATGAGTTCAGCAACTCAAAGTGCAATTTAAACCCATCGATAGAACAATTATCACAATAATGACCCATGCCAGGAGCCTTCAGCTGGTGCATTCTAAATCACATCACTGAAATGTAACTGGCAGAAAGCATTCAGGATTGGAAGTGCAAAAATAAATACCTGGAATAGAGCGTTTTAGTGGCAGGGGGGGTCTGATCCTGGCCCAAAAAAAAAAAAGGTGTTTGCTCTAGGGCAGGTCTCCAAAAACTATAATGTGTCAACCCTGTTGCCGGTAGTGTGGTCTCAGATAAGCTAACATTGCTTGTAATGTTCACTCAACTATATACCAAGGGATATACACCAATAAAAGTAATAATATTATTTTTTATATTATTATATATTGAGTAAAAAATTTTTTTTTTATTAGTTACAAAATTCATGTTAAATGACAAAGTTACATTTGTCATGGATCATATTGCAGACAATCAATCCAAAAGCAGTGCCTTCATCTGCTGGACCCGTCATACATCACTATGCCGTACACAGATATATCATATTTATATAAAACAATGTCTAAAGATATATATTTTTTTAAGTAAATCAAATTCCAGTAATGAAAAGAGAGCAATTTTCTCAACCCATTTCGCAGATTTCCATTCCACTTCTTCAGGGCACAGAGGTAGGGATGTCTACGATTTCAAATGAAACATTATACGGTGATGTTGCCGTAATTGGTCACAAACAGACCTAAAAATGGACCTAATGTACCATAAAAGGAGGAGACTGCCAAGGATATATCCAAGGAACTTGTGACTGTTATTGAACATATATGATGTTCCTTGGCAGTCTCCCGGAACCAGTGGCTTTACCAATTGGCGTTAAAGTCAGAACTATGGAGGAACCATTGGGTAGAAGATCAGTTCACCAGATGGTGCCTCCAGAAAGCTGGACGTCTCTGTGACATTGGGCATCAAGGAGAAGTCTGCTGACACATGCCAGGGTCTTGCAACTCCCTTGGGGGTTATACTGATACCTAAATGTAATGGGACTGAAATGAAGTTTCCCCATGTTCATCTTTGAGCTGATATCTAAAACTTGAATCTTTTCTCTTCCAGCTGCCCCAAGTGGTCCCGTCACAATGAAGGCTCTTCTATGGAGTATAGTTTTAGTCTGCTTACTTTCCCACGTGCTTTGTGACTGCCAGAAGGACTGTGTCACCTGCAACAAGCACTTGTATCAACAGGACAACTTCAACACTCTGGTGAGTCCTTTATATCATGTATAGCAATGTTGGTAATGTGGCTGAGCCATTTAGTGCAACAATTAACGTAATATACAACACAAGCTTCATATATTGCATGCAGATACTTAGGCCTTGTTCACACCAAATGCAGACCAGATCCGGTCAGGTTTCTGCACACGCACGATGCGTTTTTGACGCGTTTTTGATGCTTTTTTTTTCCAGGAAGCTAACAAGGTTATGAGGTCATTTCCTTTTACCTCTGACCTTTCATTAGCTGTTCCGATTATTTCCTGCTTCCTCTGACCTTGTTTCACATGTAAAATTGTTGCAACATGGATCCATGGGATGCAGGCATGCTCCTGGTGATGGTTATTATACTGCTACGCCAAGGGGCTGTAAGGAGACGTCGCTTTTGGGTGCACCCACTGATGAGAGAAAGAGATCCAAAGGGCCAGTTTGGGACTCTATATGCAGACCGTCGTGCACACCCAGACAAGTTTTTTTCATACACCCGCATGTCGATATCTAGGTAGGAATGTTTGCATGTGATGTGTCCCTTGTGATGGAATCTATCTCACACTCTCTCTCTCTCTCTATCACTCTCTCTTTAACTCTCTCTCTATTTCTCTAACAATCTCTCTCTCACGCTCTCTCTCTCTATAACTCTCTCTCTATTTCTCTAGCAATCTCTCTCTCTATCACTCTCTCTCTTTCTCTATAACTCTCTCTCTCTCTCTCTCTATCACTCTCTCTCTTTCTCTCTATCTCTCTCTATCACACTCTCTCTTTCTCTCTATATCTTTCTCTATTTCTCTAGCAGTCTCTCTCTCTCTATCACTCTCTCTCTTTCTCTATAACTCTCTCTCTATTTCTCCAGCAATCTAGCAATGCTATCAAATTCTCTCTCTCTCTCTATCACTCTCTCTCTTTCTCTATAACTCTCTCTCTATTTCTCTAGCAATCTCTCTCTCTCTCTATCACTCTCTCTCTATTTCTCTAGCAATCTCTCTCTCTATCACTCTCTCTCTTTCTCTATCACTTTCTCTCTTTCTCTATAACTCTCTCTCTATTTCTCTTGCAATCTCTCTCTATCACACTCTCTCTTTCTCTCTACTTCTCTAGCAATCTCTCTCTATCACATTGAAGTACTCACCACAGCTCTCCTTATCTGTCAAGGACATATCCTTATATCCTGGGAAAACTCTCCCTGCTATCAAACTCCACCGGTCACCCTTCTTTCTATTGTTCTTGTATTGAAAGTGTCTGCTGTCATATAGCTCAGGGCACTGTTGAACCATACTTATGAATCACTCTGGGTCACAAAACTTGTCCACCATTTTTCCTTTGCCCTCCAGCTCACAAGGTCAGCTTTTCCAGAGATAGGAAGTGACAAAGGAAGATTAGGTCATGACAGATGACCATAGAGGTTTTTTTTCTTTATGGTTATTTTTTCCCATTGAATTGCATTGGGTTGCATGGCGTTGCGTTTTTGATGCGTTTTTGATGCGTTCCAGAGCAGATCCAGAGCAGATCCAGAGCAGGTAAAATAGGGCTTGCCGCAGTTTTTTCACCTGCTCTGGATCTGGTCTGGATCCGCACGCTGCGATGTGAACTGGAGGTCAAAATACCATAGGAATACATTGGACGCAGTTTTGATCCGGTCTGCACCTGCTCTGGTCTGGATCTGCTCCGCGCTTGGTGTGAACAAGCCCTAACGGGCTTTTAAGCCTTTGATATAAAGACAGTCGAAAAGAAATACCTAATGCCGTGATGATGATTTTGTTTTGTGGAGCCGTAGCTGCAACATTGGATGGTTCTTGAGCCCCAAGCATAACTCTGGCCGTTGTTCTGGAACCTCAATTGTTGTGCAAGTCTGTGTTCCTCAAAAGCAGAAATTTTAGGGTTTTACAAGCTAGGCCAAGGGGAGAACAATGGGGGGAGACATGCTGGTCTACAGCTGTAGTCAAAGCACTGATCTGCAAGGCTGGCCGTAGCTGGGCCAGCATGCCTCTATAAAAGATGGGTGGGGAGATATCAACCTGTACTCATAAAGACAAAACATGCTGTCATCCTCACCAAGCAAAACCCTTTACGTGGAACTTAATCTTTTTCCTCTGCTCCATGGTTAAAGTGTATGTCAAGCCAAAAACCATGGCTTGATACAGTACTTGGCTTAACTTTAAGGCACTAACGGGAAATGCTCCCAAAGAGGATTTCCAAAAGGCTGGAAAATCTCTCTTTGCAATAGTGTGCTCCTTCATCCACTGGAGGTACTTATTATCTCCACCATGGCAGTCAGAAACTGTCTGAAATTCACAAGCCTGCAACCCATTTATGGCTATAAGCATGATGGTTCCAGGTGGCCCAGGGATGTGCTCCTTTCTAAGCTTTGCTACTACTTTTAAGGTGGCCATACACTGTACAACCATCGCAAGACCTTAGTCTTGCGATGGTTGTACAGGGATTAAAAAAACGTACGATCTGCCTATCTTGCGACGCGAGATCGCACTCTGGATCCTCGCAAGCCCGCCCCCCTGAGGGGCGGGCTTCCGATGACCGCAATGCTGAACGGGCAGTGTGCGCGTGCGCACACCGGCCCGTTCAGCATTTGTCTTCCGAGCACCGTTCAAACCAGCCGAAAATCGTCGATTCCCGGCTGGTTTTCGAACATGCTGGTTCGACAGAAGACGTGCGACCGTACAGTAAAAACGGTCGCACGTCTCCGTTCACACTGCTCGATTATCGTACGAAAACCCGATCGCATACGATTATCGTACGATAATCGTGCAGTGTATGGGCACCTTTAGAATAGACAAGCATGAGATGGAGAGCAGCTTTAAAAGCTTTCATAGCAGTCTTTGATACAAAAAAAACCTTCATGCAGCACCCGAAAGCCAACTTACCTTGGGGAAAAAAACAATATAGACTACCCGGATAAATTCAGTCATTGCTGAACACTACTTCACCTAAAAGTACCATTATCAACTGATGTCAGGGAGGGCCTGTAGACTTAACATGAACGTTGGATCTGCTGAACATCCTCCTGAGAATGTAGGAGACCTAAACTAAAAAAAAAAAGAATGTACTCAAGGTCTGGTGCTCCACCTTGCTGCCCCCCACAAAATAAACAATTGTTGTCCTGAAAATGCATCTGTTTCATTGTGTGTCTTCCCTTCAGGTCTTGCCAATTGCTGCTTCTCTGACACTTCCACTTCTCTTGTGGCTGGCAGTGCGTTCTACATGAGGCCCTGATTGGTTGCTCGGGTAGAAACATCCAATCAGGAAATGTCAGAGAAGCCAGTTGTAATTCAAGTAGATGCCATCGCACTCCTGACCGGGTATAACCCAAGATGATGGGTGGGTGCTGAGATGGCAGCTGATGCCTCTGCAGATCAGTATCACGTGGTAGAAAAGTTACTCGCACTCCAATAAGAATTTCAGTCAATGTTTTTTATTGACATACAAATTGTCACATCGTCTAGCGATGTTTCAGAACCTGAAGAGTTTTTTGTTTAGAAGCGCCAGGGGCAATCCTTATCCCTCACAAGGAGTACTGGGCATATATGCAGGGCGCAGCCCCAATACAGTCAGGGGAACTGCGACATCTGAAAAAAAGCACAAAAAGGGGCGCCTTTCCTGGTGCAGATATGTTTATTCCAATAAGCAGGTTTAAAAGGTAAACTGACAGGTGCTCACAAGATTAGGGTGATAACAAGCTGCAGAACAATAAAACCGGAGCAGTAAAAGGATCCGTGCAGTGCGTCCTGTGTATAGATCACTTCAGTGATCCGTGCAGTGCGTCCTGTGTATAGATCACTTCAGTGATCCGTGCAGTGCGTCCTGTGTATAGATCACTTCAGTAATCCGTGCAGTGCGTCCTGTGTATAGATCACTGAAGTGATCTATACACAGGACGTACTGCACGGATCCTTTTACTGCCTATGCGGTTCTGAAATGTCTCTAGACGATGTGACAATTCTTTTATCAATAAAGAACATTGACTGAAATTCTTATTGAAGTGTGAGTGACTTTTCTACCAGAGAAGACAGTTGGACGTGCAAAGTAGGGCGCTCCATTGACCAGATGAGTATGTCAGGCCTGCAATTGTTATTTACCTTATGGGATCAGTGGCCGGAAATCAATTTTGGACAATAGGTTGGCTTTAAATCCTTGATGATAGAAGTTCCAGAAGTCAGGGTTCTTAGGTGGCCAAACGCAGCCAAATGCTGTGTCCATTTTATTGTTCTAACAATTAGGCAAGGGTCAAAACCGCGTAGGGTCTCCTTGGGAACAATAAGAAGCTTTTCTTACCTTTGGAAGTACTTAATATCATACCCAACCTTACATTACCTTACTTTATGGTGTACCTTATCTGCTTACACTTGTGGGCTGAATCGGAAATTACACTGTGTGTCCAGTAACACATGTTTGAGGACTGTCTGTGGCCACCTTAATGCTAGTCATATCTGAATGGTTCTTTGGATCTGGGATTCGTCTTGACTCAATGCTTTTTCTGTTTTTTTTTGTTTTTTTACCAATTTTATACAATCTTATTGAAGAATACATTAAGTAAAATAAAGTGAAGTAGTTCAAAATTGTATTTGTATTCAGTTAGATCATCTATTGATTCATCCAGAGAAGGTAAATAAAAGGACTGAATTAAAGTGTGTGTATGCCCATTACGTTTTTTGGCCGGTGGGTGATGCAGTATATAGATTCCTGAACACATCGCAGCACCCTGCCCTAAGCCCTAAGGTCTCGTTGATGTTCATGCATGTGCCTATGAAAGCATCAGAGAGAGCCAAGAGGAGACGCCACCAAATGCAGCTTATCCCTAGGCCCCACAGAAAACTTTTAACCCGTCCAATGTATGGTCCTTCCTTGGGGGCAACATCTGCTAGTGCTATACACAGGAATGGCATCAGCTCCATCTGAAAACAAATTGGCCAACTCTCCTCTCAGATCTCTGACCAGTTTTAAGTAACGGTTCATGATTGCTCATTCAATACTGATACAAG